TCATTTCAGCAATGCAGAGGCAGAGGCAGGCAGAACGCTGCGGGTCTGAGGCCAGCCTAGTCCACAATGAATTCTAGCTAGCCAGCACTGCATGGCAAGACTCCTCCCCACCCTGACAGGGAAAAACCAAAAAAAAAAAAAAAAAAAAAAAAAAGAAAAAGAAAGAAAGAAAACAAAAACCCACATAAGATGGAATGTAAGGAGGAGTGCTTCCTGTTCTTCCAGAGGACTTGAGTTAGGTTCCCTTCACTGGCCTTCACTGCCATGGGTGGCAAGCGCGCGCGCGCGCGCACACACACACACACACACACACACACACACACACACACACACACACACACACAAAGAATGGTCTTTTAAAAAATATTTAAACTGGGTGGTGGTGGTGCATGCCTTTAATCCTAGCACTTAGCACTTGGGAGGTAGAGGCAGGTGGATTTCTGTGAGTTAAAGGCCAGCCTTATCTATACAGTGAGTTCCAGGACTGGCTACTGAGAACCCCTGCCGTGAAAAAAAAAACCAAAACCACAAGACAACAACAACAAAAAGATTTAAAAGGCACCAGGCAGTGGTGGTGCACGCCTTTAGTACCAGCACTCAGGAGGCAGAAGCAGGTGGATCTCCGAGTTTGAGGCCAGCTTGGTCTACATGTAGACAGAGTCTCAATTCAGCCAAGGCTACACAGAGAAACCCTGTCCCCCAAAAAATAAAAATAAAAAATAAAAAAAAATAAGGAAAGGAAAGGAAGGAAAAGATTTAAAAGGCAACATGAGCTATAGCTATTAAAATGGAAATATTTAATATATTAGATCAAAAGGCATTATATGTGGGAAAAATAATATAAAATTAAGCCGGGCGGTAGTGGCACATGCCTTTAATCCCAGTACTCGGGAGGCAGAGGCAGGCGGATCTCTGTGAATTCGAGACCAGCCTGGTCTACAAGAGCTAGTTCCAGAACAGCCTCCAAAGCCATAGGGAAACCCTGTCTCGGGGAAAAAAAACAAAAAACAAAAACAAAACCAATAAAATTAAATGGAAGTATTTAAAACATCAAGATTTCAAAACTAAATATTCCATTGTTTAACTATATTAATTTAAATATTACTAGCGTGCCAGTTTTGTTTTAAACTGGCTCATTAAAGGTTAGCCATTCCAGCATTGAAGAGACTGATCTAGGAGAACTGTCACTTTTATGCCATCCTGAGTTACCCAAGAAGTTCCAGGTTGACCTGGCTACAGAGTGGGAAGACTCAGGGCATTTGCCACCAGGTGGGATGAAGGAATTCCATCTTATAACTAACCCACATGGTGGGAGAAGTTCCCCGAGTTGTCCTCTGACTTCCACGTGGTCACTCACACTCCCCTCTTCCAATATAGAAATTAATCTTACATGTATATATAATGTTTTTTTCTTTCTTTTGGATACCAGGTCATAGCCGTCGCTGAACTCACAGAGATCAGCCTGCCTCTGCCTCCTGAGTGCTGGGATTAAAGGCGTGCACCATGTAACATTAAGAACCCACCACCTGCCGGGCATGCACCGACGTTACTTGAACCCCTTGACCCCCGGGCTCCCTGACCGAGGCCCCGAGGTTTCGGCCGCGCAGGCAGCGCCCTAGCCAGCCCGCCGCCCGCGAGGACCCACAGCCAAGATGGCGGCCCCCGCGATGCGGACGTGCGGCGCACTGCGGCTCTCTGCGGTTCTGCGTCCCAGGTCCCGCAACTACCATGCGCCGCCGCCCCCGCGCCGCAGCCCTGGACCCCACTGGCCAGACCCGGAGAACCTGCTGAGCCCGCGGTGGCAGCTAGGCCCGCGGTACGCGGCCAAGCAGTTCGCGCGGCACGGCGCCGCCTCTGGGGTGGCCCCCGCCTCCCTGTGGCCCTCGCCAGAGCAGCTTCGCGAGTTGGAGGCGGAGGAGCGAGAATGGTACCCGAGCTTAGCGACCATGCAAGAGTCGCTGCGCGCGAAGCAGCAGGCCGAGGAGGCGAGGCGTCGTGCCAGGTAACCCACAGCCCCGAAACCGTGAGTCCTCCCGTTGGAGGCATGCGGAGTCCTTGTGGCGCAGGGTTAACAGGCCTGCTTGTTCACTTGGCTGAAAAACAAACTTGTGGGTAAATTCTTGTAGCCACTCAACTGCAGCTTTTGTGTCTGTCCTTACTTTTCCTCTTCCTTTACCACTGAGCTGTATCACTAGCCCGCCCTCCTTGTATTTCTTTTTAAACAAGGTCTCACTGTTAACCTTACTTAACTCATGTTGCCCTGAATCTAGAATCCATCTGTCTTTACCTTCCCAATATCTGAGAGTTTACAGGCCTGTACAAAGCCTCAACTATTTTATTTTTACTGAATATTCTGTGTAAGAATCTAAGGATCCACACGAAAGGGAACAAAACAGACAAGAATTTCACATAAGGGACCCTTGGGAAGACAAAACACAGTTAAGAGTGCATGCTGGAGCCAGGCAGTGGTGGTGCAAGCCTTTAATCCCCACACTCTGGAGTCAGAGACAGGAAGATCTCGGTGAGTTCCAGGCCAGCCAAGGATACACAGAGACCCTGTCTCAAAAAAAAACAAAAAAAACAAAAGGGGGGCCCTTGTGATGGTTGTGTGTGTGTGTGAGTGTGTGTGTGTGTGTGTGTGTGTGGTTTTTTGAGACAGGGTTTCGCTGTGTAACAGTCTTGGCTGTCCTGGAACTCACTTTGTAGATCAGAGTTCTGACCACCTTTGCCTCTCAAGTTCTGGGATTATGCCCTTGTGATATTTAAGCAAAGCCCCATATAACCAGTTGTAGGTACTGGAAACATCTCTAGGAGAGTTCCCAGTAGAGGGAGCAGGTGGTGCAAAGGTCCTGAGGTTGAGTGGCACATGCCTCTAACTTGGCGAAGACATGGTTCAGAGGCAAGTGGAAATTCTGATTTTGAAGATAGCCCTCACAGCTGTTACTCAGTGAGAACTTTGATCATAAGCAAGCTGGTTGTGATGGGAGCACACCTTTATTCCTAGCCATCTGGAACCACAGGCAGGTGGATTACTGGGTTTTGAGGCCAGTCTAGATCCTATCTTTAAAGAAAATGTCAGACCAGTGGTCATGCACGCCTTGAATCCCAACACCCAGGCAGAGGCAGGCAGCTCTCTGAGATCAAGGCCAGTCTCTACACTACAGAGTAAGTTCCAGGGCAGCCAGGACCACACAGAGAAACTCTGTTTCAAAAAAAAAAACAAACAAAAAAAAAAAAAGGAAAGAAAAAAGAAATTGCTGGGCGTTTGTGGCACACGCCTTTAATCCCAGCACTCAGGAGGCAGAGGCAGGCGGATCTCTGTGAGTTCCAGGCCAGCCTGGTCTCCAGAGCGAGTGCCAGGATAGGCTCCAAAGCTACACAGAGAAACCCTGTCTCAAAAAACCAAAAAAAAAAAGAAAGAAAGAAATTAACTTTAAAAAATGTCTAGAAGTGGGTTGGAGAGATGGCTCAGGGGTTAAGAGCACTGACTGCTCTTCCAGAGGTCCTGAGTTCAATTCCCAACAACCACATGGTGGCTCACAACCATCTGTAATGTGATCTGGTGCCCTCTTCTGGCATGCAATGTATACATAATAAATAAATAAATCTTAAAAAAAAAAATGTCTAGAAGTGTGCCCAAGAAGGCACTAGGCCGGTGTGATTGGGTAATGGGAGAAGAGAGTAGTGCTGGGCTGTGAAGTCCAGGGCAGATGTCAGCAAAGGAGGAACAAGTCAATGATCATAGATCTGAGGGGAATGAAGGCAAGCCACACAGACATTTGGATGATGCCATTTTGGGGGCAGATGAATGTGTTCCTGGTATTTAAGCTTGTCCTCTCAACAACTTTGGAAGGACAAGATTACCCTTGTTACAAATGAAACGGAGGCCTGAAGAAGCCAAGTCAGCTGTCCAGGGCCATGCTGGCACTGAAGGATAGAGCTGGTTCCCCATCTGTCTCACCCTAGCTGGATGGTCCTCTTCTTCCTAAGGCTTGATTCTCTTCAGTTTTGCTGTCTCAAGACTGAAGATATGATGAGTGTGTCTACAAATCCACCAGGCTGGAAGGAAACATCCATCCAGTTGTTTCTGTGTCTAAATTTGGACAGCCATGACATGGGCATGCGGATGGTTTAGTAGACAGGGTTGACTTGGTCTGCCTCACTGTCTGCTTTCCTCTGCAGGGAACAGCATATCTCAGAGTGCATGGCCAAGATGCCACAAATGATTGAGAACTGGCGACAGCAGAAGCGGGAACGCTGGGAAAAAGCTCAGGCTGACAAGGAGCGGAGGGCCCGGTTACAGGCTGAGGCTCAGGAGCGCCTGGGTTACCATGTGGACCCAAGGAGTGCCCAATTCCAGGAGCTATTACAGGACCTAGACAAGCAGCAACGCAAGCGCCTCAAGGAGGAGAGACAGCGACAGAAGAAGGAAGCGCGAGACGCTGCTATGGCCTCTGCTAAAGCCCAGGACCCAGCAGTGTCTGGGGAAGCCAGCTCCTAAAGCCCCTTTCCCAATAAAGCCTGCTGCTGACAGCCCCTAATCTACATATTCTCCCTCAAGCTGTGACTTCCTGGGTCCCTTGGCTCATTCCCCAATACCTGGGGTGGAAGAATCCTCTGCTGGGCTTTGTTCACACCTGGACACTAAGCCATGCCATGACTGGGGCTTCAGGGACAGAGAAAGGGGAATGGATGGGCAAATAATGAAGGAGCAGATGGCAGTGGAGAAGGAGGCTTCTGTTTACCAACATTAATCTCCAGTAATTAGCCAATTACCAGGGGGGAATACAGCCAAACAGACTGCATGAGAGGGAGCAGCAGCCCTTTCTAGGGCTGAGCTGGGGCAGGGGCCCAAGTTTCCAGAGGGAGGAGACGCTGGGGCCCCCATCTGTGAGGCTCAGGCCTCTTCCCCAGTTCTCAGCATGCCCATGTCACCTGTGCCCAGCTAGCTCACAGACTCACAAGCTGGTGTGAGAAGCTCCAGTAGGCATGCACCATTGTTAGGGCTCATTTTTAAAACTTTATTCACTTCAAAACCTTTATCAGAGATGTGGTTCTGCCCTGGGGTGGGGTGGCCTTGGCCTTCAGAGCTGATGTTACCTCTTCTCCAGGCTGGAGGCCAAGGCCAGACTAGGGAGAAAGCCTTGGGCTTCTAATGAACTCACTCGCTCCAGATGGAAAGATTTGGGCCACTCCAACGGAGGATAAAAGTTTAGGGCTCCAGCTTCCCCTCATCATGGAGGAGGGAGGTGGGTTGTCCTTGGGGATGCTTCAGGGGATGGGGAAGCAGGCAGGCGCCTCTCCATCTGGCTGCAGGGAGCTGGGACAGAGGCCAAGAGGGGCCCATCTGTCACCTCCTGGTCTTGCCAGCAACTTTGAGCAGGCTGGGCTCTGTTAAGAGGATGGGGACAGCTGTCTGGCCCAGGTCTTGTCGGACTGAGATGGGAATAGGGGCCACTTCAGAAAGGTGGGAATCTGGCCTAGGTGTTGTTTCTTTTTTTTTTTTTTTTTAATAGTTTTTTAATTTTTTCTTCCTCTTAAATAAACATGAATATATATATGTGTGTGTATGTATATATATATATATGTATATATATGTGTGTGTGTGTATATATATATATATATACACACACACACACACACCTTTTCTTTTATAAAACTTTTGTGGAGTGGGGTAGGGGCGTTCTAGCCTCCCAGTATCACTCATCATCAAAGTTCTGACTCAGAAGGAAGTTGGCAGCCAAGTTCTCATTTTTTTCACACGCGAAGTAGGCCTGGATCACCAGGCTCTCTGGGAAGCCCAGTGCCTTCAGCTGTGGGAAGATGGGCAGGGGTAAGAAGGAGGGAAGCATGGGGCTGCCCACCATGAGTGGCTCTTTAGCCAGGCTTCTTACCCTTTCTATAGCTTCCTTCTCCTGCGGCGTCACCTGGATATAATTCATCTGTGGGGCCTCCTCACCTATGGCACCAACCTCCCCCTCTACATCAGAGATGTCTGCCAGCTCCCCAGGGGGCTCATTCAACATCTGGATGAACTGCTCCTGGTGTCGGCTAATTTGCTGTGAGAAGAACGAGAAAGATGACAATCCACAGTCCTTGACAAATATGCCCAGGTCCCATTACAGCCCTTGCATACACATCAAATTGTCAAACACTCTGAAGGTGCCTGCTCTGGCCAAACAGCCATGTAGCTATAGAAAGAAACTGTCAAGGTGGGGCTAAGATGCCAAGCTGGGAATACGGGTTTGGTGACACATGCCTTAAATTCCAGCACTTGGGAGGCAGAGGCAGGTGGATCAGAGTTTAAGGCCAGCTTGGTCTACAGAGGAGTTTCAAGCTAGCCAGGGCTACATGGTGTCTCAATTAAATGTCTCAATAAAACAAACAAACAAAGAAGTAAATAAATATACCAAACCTAGGCATGGCAGTTCATTCCTTTAATCCCAGCACTCAGGAGGCTGAAGCTGGAGGATCACCATGAGTTTGAAACCATATAGTTCAGCCTAACCTATATAGTGAGACTGAAGAAAAACAAAAAGTTCAAATCAAATAATTGCAGATATGCTAGTTAAATCACTGAGGCCTTGTGGGAGGGACCCACTGTCTGGGGCAGGAAGAGGGGGGCTTGCCTCTGGCTAAAACAAGTACCAAGTGAAAATGCCCAGGGGTGGGAGAGCTCAGTGGCACGAACAGCACAGAAAGTCTGGGAAGACCTTTCTCCTGTGGCAGTGGGAAGCCACAGTGGCAAACAAGGCAGTGCTGCTTGGGTCCTTCTCTTTGTGGTGTTGCAAGTAAACCCAGGTCTCAACCTGCTAAGCACAAGCACTCCCTACTGAGTAACACTCAGCCTGTGCAACCTTTATCTTTTTTCTTTCTTTTTTGAAATGATTTCACTATTAGAAGGAGCTGTCTTCAAGTTCAGTGATCCTCCTGCCTCAGTCACCTAAGTGCTGTGCTTACAGGTATGCACTGTCACACTCGGCTCTAGAATCTATTAAATACACTCTACTTGGAAATCCAGAGATTCTGAAGCAACCGTTTGTTTCTGCAGACTTCTGACTATTTTCACATTAAAAAGGGCCTTTTCAGCAATCTAGCCTCTTGGTGGGCAGTTCACCAGGGGCACTGTGCAGAATTAGGAGACATGAGAGGAGGGTGCCAGGATACTGGGAGGGAGAAGTAGCTGCCATAGGGGTAGAAACAGAGAAACAGTCCCCACAAGGCTACCAGAGGCTCAGTGCAGAAATACAACTAGAATCAAACGGGCCTAAGAACTCATCGGTCCAGGAAGTCCTCTCATAGCTCAGATGAGAGGGTTCCAAGGGTTCTGGTGACACAGGTTCAGATAGGTCACCATACAGAGGGTCAAAAGGTGAAGGTCAGATCAAGAAGGCCAGGACTGAGGAGCAGGAAGGGGAGCAAGCACTCAAAAATGCTGTGACCAGAGTCCAGGACCCAGACATACGGCAACCTGCTCTGGGCCTGACCTTCAGCAGGTGGATGTCAATAACATCCATACCTCATGAGAGTCCAACTACACATAACCTTGCCGTCATCAGGGAGCAAGGGGCTGGGCCTGTGCTAGTTCTGCTTTCTCAGAGCAAAGCTATGTCCCTGGGTGATCCCCTAAAGAACTAGAAAAGGTGTCTGTCTCAGTTCCCTCACCCTGGGCCGCACCTGCAAGAGCTGAGGGTTCTCCTGGCCCAGTTGCTGGAGCAGTGCAGGGAGCAAGGCTGGATTCTGCTGGATCACCTGCCGCATGTTCTGGAACTGGGGCTGGTCCCGCAGGAACTCCAGGGGGTTTTCCCCTGCTGGTGGCAGGAAGAGGTGTGGTGAGAGCCCTGCAGGGCTCCTGTGTCTACTGTAGATACCCACATGTGCAAATCCATCCTACTCACCTGCTTCCACGGCCGGCTGTTCTGGTACCTGGCTCTCCTGAACAGAACCATGTTCCGGCTCAGGACTCCCGGGAATTCCCTGTCAGGGATCCTGCTTTTTAGTTCTCTCCAACAGACCCACTTCCCCCTCCCAGTTGATCAGCCTGACAGGAGACAGGAAGGCCTCATGCCTGCCTTCCACACTCTCGTACAGCCTCTTTGAGAAGCCTTCAGTGGCAACACGTGATACCCATGAGCCTATGGGGTAGGTTCCACCTCCATTGCCTGTTGAGGCACCAAGATCTGGAGACTCCCTCACCGTGAGCAAGTATTCCACAGCTCTGTGGGGGTTGTTGTAGCTGGCCCTCAATGCGGCCACAACCCGCTCCCGCTCGTAGCCCATGGACATGATCTCAGTCAGCATCGTCTCATACTCAGAGCCAGTCACTGTGGAGGGAGCAGCAGGGCCTGGGTCACCAGGGGCACAGAAGGGCTGCTCCCAGACCCTCCCATACCCAGACAAGGCTGTCAAAGGCGGATGGCTGGGGCTCCCAGTCGCCTCTGCCCTGAGGACCACCCACCCACCTAATGTGGAAGCTGCGTCTTCCTCTCGCCCGCTGCTACCTGAAGAGGGAACAGAGCTGCAAATTCAAGAGAGAGAAATCGGACCCTGGCTTCTGGTGGCTTGCCCTCCCCACAAGTGCATGGGACCACACTGGAAAGTGCAGAGGACAGGGCACAGGTAAGGCTACTGCCCCTTCCTTACCCAGAGATGGATTCTGGAGATGTTGCAGTAGCTGATTCCTCTGATGGGCTCTTGTCCTCTCTGCTGGCAGGTGGAGGATGGGACATGCCTGATGTTGGAGCCGGAGGAAAGGGTGTGGAGGACTCTGGGGCAGCAGTGGGTGAGACCTCTGGGGGTGCTGGGGTACTTTGGCCAGCCTTGGCCTGTGGCAGCAAGAAAAAGGGATCAGGCAGCAGCATCCCTATCAAGCCTCAACATCCTGCCCCATCACAGCCCCACCCTGCCTATGGCTAATCTCTCCTGGGCACACAAGCCCTTTGCCAGCATCCCAGCTAATCTACCCACCTTGGTCACCATTACAACCACAAAGTTCTTCTCATCTATATGGTATTCCTTGATGGGGACATCATCATTCAAGATCTTGCCAGCATAGATGAGTTTCTGTCCAGCCACAGGGAAAGCATCTCTACCCTTCTCAGCCTCTATCTTCTCCTTCAGCACCTTCACCTGGAATAAGGAGTACAGGCATTAAAAACACGGCTTTAATAGTGTGATGTGTATGTTTACACATAGCACTAACACTCTAAGATACCCTCAGTGAAGTCTAGGCATGGTTGTGCACACATTGAATCCCAGTACTTTGGAACGACAAGTGGATCACTTTGAATTCCAGGCTAGCCAGGACTATATAGTGAAACTGTCTCAGATAAAATAAAGACACCTTTCCTGACCCTTTTACCTTAGGGGAAAAGCTTTGCTCTCAATCATAAGAGACTCCTACTCAATGTGGCCAGTCGACAGCAATCTATTACAGGCCAGACACTTATGCTGCTCGTTGTGTGTGTATGTGCGTGTGATTGTGGTGGCCTAATTGTTCTACAAGAGCTCCATCCCAAACCCTGTTTTACAACAGCCTGTGGAACAGAACAAAACAGAATTCAGTCACTGTTCTCATGGAGAAGACCTTGATGTGAGAAAAAAAGCAAACTTGTATTTCAGATGTCATGTTGTTGAGAAGGGAAACAGTAAAAAGGAAATGAAAGGGTATACCCACTGCTGGCCACAAAAAGTTAACTGTTCTGTAATTATTGAGGAAATCCTTTACCCCCTCCTTTTTTGAAATGGTCTTATTCTGCACTCCAGGCTGGCCTAACTACATAGCTCAGGCTGGTCTGGAACTTAAAACAATCCCCATCTTGGCCTCAGTGTTCAGGGATTATAGACATGACCACTATGCCTAGACTTCACTAAGGGTATAGCAGTGGCTTCATAGTATATTTGAGAAGATTCAGGGGAGGTGGCTCAAACAATAGTATCACCTACTTGGGAGGCTAAGGCAATACCTATCACTTGGGCCCAGAAATTCAAAGCAGCACTGGACAACAAAACAAGACCTCACTCTCAAAAAGCAAAAGCAAACAAAGTTCATGCAGCAAGTTTAGGCTGCTGTCTGTTACATAAAACAAAACAACAAAAAAAAAATTAATCCCGTCTCTTCCATTACTTGCTGTGACCATGGCAAACTTCCTTAACTCTGAGGTTGTCAAACGGGGAAAGTTAGGAGTCCCCAAAGGACAACACTATTTTGCAGATTCAGCAAGACGACACTGGCAAAGAATAAACGGCCAACAAACACGGACCACCAAAACTATTAAGATTAAGACCATTTATTATTATCAACATTGTTGTCACCAGTTGGCACCTCTTGGCCACTGACGCCAAACGTGGTCACCCGAGCGGCTTGCAGGCTGGGAATGCGGAGTCGGCAGCTGGCACAGGAGCGGGACTGGGGACTCGCCCTGGGGCCAACCCGGGAAGGGCGCCTGAGCCCCGGGGCAGGGCAGGGGCGATGGGAAGGGGGGTG